TCTACTCAATGCATAAGAATAAATAAAATGTAATTTACTATCATTATTTTAATAAGAGTAAGAGGTTCAAAAAATATATATATGGTCAGTTAACATTTTGTGCATACTATTTTTATCCTATCTGTAGAGCTTTTCTAATAATTGAGTAATTGATTATTTTAAGGGAAAATATTCTAATGGTATAAAACTTACAAATTTACAACAATCCAACTCTATTTGACTTCCTAAGATTGTATCTGTTAGAAATTTAAATTTATAAATCGTATGTGGTTTAAAATATAATTTGACATTTTTATAAATAAATTTTTGGGTAGCGATTCAAATCTTAAATTTTTGGGTCGATACAAAACATGCAGCAATAATTTAGCAAAGAATAATTTACCTCTAAGGCCATACTCATGAGAGCTTGTGCTAGGAGTTCCCACTGCATGCAACTCTCTTCTGATGATGGATCGGCAGAGACTCTGCCCATGAATGACAACACCATGTGTCCATCAACAACCATTTCTTCTGATCGTGATTTCAGAAATACTGAGAAATCTCTTTTAAACTGTGATAAATATGCATCGATTACGCTTCCTGGACTTGTTTTTGATATATAGATATTTCCTTTGTTCAAAGGCTTGAGGATATTTGAATCCAAAAGTCGTGGAACCTGCCTTGTCAAGTTGAAAATTAAAAAAAAAATGAAAAATGGCATTGTTGGGTCATGGGTGTTTGCTTATAGAAGTGTAATTCATATGATTACTTCAGCATGGTAGCCGAGTCAGTAAAATTATGAGTTTTAAGTCTCTCTGTCACTTGTCTATGAGAAATTGTGTATGTGCTAGCCTTGATGAAAAACAAATAAAAGATTAAATGTAACTAAGCTAAATACGTACGTAAGTCGAGACAAGCACTTTCGTTGCTATAGTTTGTCTATTATTTTATTTTTACTTTTTTAAACCAAGGATTAGGCTTTAAAATTCAACTCAAGCACTGTTCATTTATGCAAGGGTTTTGCCATTTAAACAGGGCCAAATGACAGGCCTTGTTGACAGAGCCGAGGTGGGATGAATCTCATTTTTCAAATGAGATTCAAATCAAGGGCCGAAGTGTTACCATCTTGTCATTTGGCCCTGTCACTATAGTAGGGTCCCGAAAGGTACAAGAGATTTGCAGTGGTCTACGTGGACCACTTATGTATTTTTATTCTGGTCCACCAATTAAATATGGAGAGGGACTGTAGGTTTTCGTACGAAACAGAACATAGGGGGAAAAAAATCTTCAAACGTTAAAATCTCAATAATTCTTATTACTATGTTTCATTTTTACAAGGTTTTATTCTGTTCGTATATGCATGTATGTGCATATCTATACGTATACATGCTATATCGACATACAATTCTTGGCATGAAATTGGTATATGTTTGAACATTATTCAATTGAATTGAGATAATTAATATCACATTTTGTACATATTTTTCTTACTGTGAAAAATAAATGAGATGAAGAAACAAATTGTCACTACTGTCCATCGCCCCCCCCCCCCCCGGCAGGCCCCGCTCCTCATAGTTTTTCTTCCATCGTATTGATTATGGGGACCAAATGAGTTTCTCCTTGTGTGGTTTTGTTTGGTTATCAGGTCACATCTAAATTACTTTTTTTTTCATCCTACTGATTATGGGGACCAAATGATTTTTTAATTTTACATCTAAATTCAAAAAATAAAAATAAAAGATACAAATGTGTCTCATTAGGGATAATATAAACAATATTTCAAGGTAACGATAGCAGAGTTACCTGAGAAAGCCAATGGAGACTCGAAGAAGAGTGAATGAAATGTAGACTCTTTTTAGGAAACAACCTTCCATAAAAAGAGCCAGGCACACCTGAAATAAAGCACCCTTCTGGCCCAATGTTCTTCTCCATTTTGAGTTGACTGTAGAATTCCGGCAAAGAGATGAATATGTTATTGAAATCATTGCCCGGAAGATCGTTCAATGAAACCCTTAACTCGGGCAATGGAATACCCTTTCGGTTACTTGTGGCGTATACTGTATCTATTATATCAGAAATTACCATTAGACTGTTAGGTCCAGATGAACATCCCAAATCAGCAATTCCCATACTGTCTAGGAAATTCTTTTCCAGACACTCTTCCACTGCTTTCTCGATTATTGAAGTTGCAACTGATATTATCTTCCTCTGCAAATGCATGGAAACATTTCTAAACACTGTATCAGAAAGCCAAACAACAGAGAAGAAGAAGAAGAACTTTCAAGTTCATCCTCTAATCCCAAAGCTCAACCCTAGATATCGTTATACTTAATCTAAAAGTGTTGTAGCCTTTTGATTTAAATGGGTGGATATTAATTTTAACTTTATACACATTTTTTTGTATATGGGTGGCACCAAGAATATTATTTCATTTAATGACTTTTTGATAGTATCACAAAATTATGTTGAATTAGTTTATCTAAAAGATTAAAATTTTTTGAGTGAGGGAACAAACCTAAAATATGTCTTCAAAAGTTCTTTTTCATTTGTATGACTAAATTGCACGAGATTAAAAACTAATAAACCAAGTTTCCATGGAGTTTCTCAAGATTTTGAATTTTATTGAAGACGTTATTTAGAATTTTTCATCCTGCAAAGTAGGAGATATTTGGACTTTCAACTCCATGGGCGTGAAGAACAAAAATGATATTGTTACTTCAATAACTTTTACTTATTCAAAATATATATTAAGGTACAATTCGTTATTACTTAAATCTCTTCATGATAAAAAAAAAATCTATTTTACAAATTCTATAACATTGCGAGTCCTGAATCCCATAGCCTGCAATAGAAAAATTCACAGACATCTATGTTGAAAAGCATGTTGTGCGTGCAGCCTCACTAGAAACGTAGTGAAGATAAATCGAATGTTAGCAAGAAACGGAACCTGCACAATTGAATTCTTGGCATAGCTGGTTTCTCCTTCTCCTTTGTTCATATGAAGAACTTGCATCACTTCCATCTTTCTCTCTCGTTCTTTCTTTCTCCAGAACTTCCACCGCTATCTAGATTTGATATGAATGCGTTATGAATATGTTGCTTCTATTTATAAATACACAGAAGAAGAAATGGGATAATTTCATTTTTAGTCACAAAACTTATAGCTAAATGTAATCTGAGTTACCTAACTTATAGCAAAATGTTAGTCACTGGCATTTAAAAGTAATAAATCGAACCCCACTAAGTATACAGGGGTGTCTTCACAGGGGCTTTACAGGGCTGGGGTGGGTCAGTTAATTTTTGACAATTTTTTATTCAGATGGAGCCTACCTTTTGTCAATTAGCTTCTGTGTAGGAGGAAAAATTCTAATAAATTACTGTGTATCACAGACTTTTTACCCTTTGTACCAGATTAGACTAAAGGTACTAAAGGAACTTCTGTGTAGGAGTAAAAATTCTAATAAATTACTGTGTATCACTGCCTTTTTACCCTTTGTACCAGATTAGACTAAAGTCTGAAAGGGTCATAGCCTTTTATTTTATTTTTCTCGGCTAGCCCTTGGGATGTATGCCAAGCCTACATAGCTTGAACTATAATGACCACATTACTTAGATACATCCTTCTTACACTTCCTACATTGCCTCCCTATGCTATCTTCAACCTAAAGCTCAAGCTAACTAATAAATCTTCCTTGGAAACATTTATTTCAACGTGTTAAATGTTGTTGAGATTTAGAAAAAGGACCACAATAATGTCCACAACGTGTTAAATGTTGAGATTTAGAAAAAGGACCACAATAATGTCCACAACGTGTTAAATGTTGAGATTTAGAAAAAGGACCACAATAATGTCCACAACGTGTTAAATGTTGAGATTTAGAAAAAGGACCACAATAATGTCCACAACGTGTTAAATGTTGAGATTTAGAAAAAGGACCACAATAATGTCCACAACGTGTTAAATGTTGAGATTTAGAAAAAGGACCACAATAATGTCCACATTACTTAGCTACATTCTTCTTTATGCTTCCAACATCCACTCACTTGGATTAGAATTGTAACATACGTCACATTGTGTGCTCAACCTCGCTAACTAATAAATCTTCCCTCTCGATGGTTCCCCGGAAACATTTATTTTAAACGTTTTAATTGGTGAGAATTAGAAATCATAATGTTATTCCACTAAGAGCAATTAATTGCAAAAAGAAATAAAGACACAATAAATTAATACAGGTTCGTCCCAATATGAAAACACGTCCTCTTCCACTTCTGTAGTAATTCAATAAGGTTAAAAAGATTTATAAGAAAAAATTGCACAACTTATCTTTTGTAACCCTTCAATCTCTCATTTATGAAATTTTGGTAATAGACATTGTATTTTTTTTGAAAAAAATGTCTGGTTAACAATTTGCTACAAAATGAAAGTTGGGTATTTTGTTAATTTAGACACTAGTTTTGTATGAGCTCAATTATTATACATAAATTAGAAAAATTCTAAACGAACAAGGCCTGGTGACAGGGGAGTCTAATTTTTTCTTATTTTCTAACTACATATTCACCACAATTCTATCATTTCAAAATGCTTTCTTAACCAAAAAAGGGGTCGAACAGGTCTTGTATATAATTAATTTGGCCAATAATCCATATACTGCACATGTTCGATAGAAATTAATATTCAAATTTTAATCTACGTCAAAATCAACAATTAATTTTAACTATACCCATTTTATCAATATTTATCAAAATCTGTTAAAACTCTTATTTTAGTTTCCATAGAAAAGGTCATTGTAAAATTGATTTGTTTATTTTTATTTAAATATGAAAATATATTACGACTTTGAATTTCATTTCAAAATGTCAACATTATTAAAAAAAAGTAACTTAAACTCTTTTATATTTATTATATCATTATTTGATGTGGAATTTACTCTTACAATGTTCTCGCAAGATGGCGCTCCATTTCGAAACAACAATTTCGAAACACGTTAATCTCATGATAGATTAGTTTGATCTATTTTAGGCCTAACAGAGGCAGTTAACCTCTTAATAGAAGCATATTAAATGTTATATGCTTGAGACACTGCAACAGAGTTTGCTATGCATGTCGTAAAAAGTTTTTTACAGCATACATGTGAGTACCATATAAAGTCATGTCATAGATAATTGTCTCTTTTATAATAGAGACAATTATGGCATACATTGCATGCTATTATAAAAGAGACAATTATCTATGACATGACTTTATATGGTATTCACATGTATGCAGCTAATAAACTTTTTACGGCATGCAACCGCATGTCGTAAAAAATATAATATTTTACGAAATACTTTTATTATATTGGTGAATGTCAAATTAGATCTTTTCCGACGTGCTCACGTATGCCTAAAGAAATGTTAAAGCATACACGTGCGAGCCGTAAGAAATATTGTAGCATGCGTGTAAACACCGTAAATGTCCAAACAGGTTTTTTAGGGCATGTACACTTGTCTTGTAGATTTCAAACTTGATCGTTCATTTCTTTTTGCTTGAATACCACACTTAACTTTGTGTTACACTAGGGATAGACTCACTTATCAGGTACTTATTTGTTATTTATTAGTTGCTAATTTGCTATAGACAAAAAATTGTTATTCTTAAAAAATAAAAAATAAAAAATAAAAAATTTGGAGTGTTATTGACATATCTTCTTTTATTGGATTGTATACCCTAGCTCAATATATTGCTCCGACTTTTCATATAAAAAAAAAATTGTACATTATCGCATAATGGATGATTTGACAAGAAATATAGAATGAATTGTTGGATTTTAATTTGTCATGTGAGCCTATATATGTAATTAATTGTGTAATAAAGGCTATCTTAAACTTAAGCCCGCTTAAAATGATCTAATAAAAAATTAAAGTTATTGGAATTAGAGCATCTAATATGATAGGGACCTAAATATGTGTAGAAACTATATTTCTTTGGGTTGTATTTTATGATGGGTTGAAATACATATGAAAAATATATATGTGGTTAAGGTCCCCAATTCATATGTCACTTCTCATTCTTTGTGTCATCCCATCAAAACAAAAATATTAAGAGAAACTGTATTGAAGATGAAGATCTAGAACCTACAATCAAAAATCAAGAACAAGAAATTAATACTCAAGAAGCAACATAATCAAGATCTAGTAATCAATCTCAATTCTCAAAAGATCAAGGTTTGTTTCGAACTTTATAATTCTCTTAGTGATTTAAGCTTTTAAAATCTAACACAAATGCTTTTGCATTTTGTTGATGAAAGAGAAGATCGCTACAACAAAATACACCTTTTACGGCGTGTATTGCACGGCACGCCGTAAAAACGTGCTTACGGCATGAGCCCATAAAGCATTGCCGTAAAAAGCTGAACTTTTTACGGTGTGCACTGCACGCCGTAAAAAGCCCTGAAATAGTCATTTATGGCGTGCAAAAGCTGTAGATGCACGTCGTAAATAAATGCCATAAAAAGTTGTTGTTGTTGTAGTGGATGCATCCAAATAAGGGCAAATGGCCATTACATTGAGGTTGTTAACAATTATGGTAGTTTGGTAGAACGTTTCTTCTCGATTAAAACTGAAATATCCCAAGTTCTTGTTCTTTAGGTGAACAAAATGAGTGGACAACAGTATGATGGTGCTACCATGCTAGTAATATTCTCAGTGCTTAGAATCTACTTCAATCAGGGGTGGAGCCAGAAAATAATTAGATATGTTATATATTTAAGTAGAAATCATAAAATTTATATAATTTTGCTATTCAATTAAAGTTACGATTAATATTGGAACCTAATTGAAACTTAGTTCATGTGGAAACAATGCTTAGACTCATATCTACTTTTATTACTAGCCAGATATTATCTATTTGAGAAAGTTTAGCTCAAAAAGTTTTTGGTATCAGTGTCAGAAATTGTAATTATTTAGTTTTTCTTTTTCGTTAACTCTATCTTTAGTTTGAATTTTCTATTTGTTCTTTATTTTATTTGTTCTTTTTCTTTTTTTTTTAGTTGATGTACTTATTTTTTTTTTTTTTTGATTTATTTGTAATTGTCTGATATTTGTATAGTAGACCGACTATTCAACCAGAGAAAATAAAACTAAAGAAGAAGAGCATGGAGAGAACGATGATTTTTAATTGTAACAAAGCTAAATGAATAAGTGGCATTCAATGAAGATGAAATAAATATACAATTCTACAACTTCATTGTTTGCTCTAAAATTGATTTTGCAATTAAAGTCGATGAGAAGATCGAAGTATTCGTAATTGAGTTTGAATCGAGTGGTATAGGCAAGACATTTTATGTTGGAAAAGGGAAAGTAAAAGTTACGAAAATAAGCGAGATATGATGCAAAG